ATATTTTGATATTCTTGGTTTGCAATTTGAACTATAGAATTAATTCTTTTTTTTTTTGACTATTATATCAGTCTTTCCATTTATACTTTAGCATATTATTTTGTTTAATTAGCTTTTTATTTATTTTATTTAATTCTTAAACATGTTTCCAACTTTCCATTACATAGTTATATGCATAATCTAATTGTTTTTTAAGATCTTCTATCTCATTTATTTTAGAGTTTAACTGTAATTGAAGTAGATAAATATAACTTTCAAGAGTAATATTAGATACTCGTATACCAACCTTATGGGTTTTCTGATTAACTTGCATACCAACTTCACACATATCTTTTTTAATTTTTGTTTTATGTGAATACTATGCATAAGCTTGCTTTTTAATTATTCTATTGTCAAAATTATTATTACTATTTATTTGATACTTTTGATTATTATATCTATTTTTATAAATATTTGAACTTACAAGCATTTGATGTAAAAAATCTAATACAATAATTTGATTATAATACTTTTGCATAAAGAAAAGTCTTCTAAATGTATTTTAATTTGAGCTAATTCAGAAAAAAAATTATTATATAATGAAAGGTGATCTTGAGGTAATTTACTATTTGCATGTTGTATTGTTTGTAAATGTTTAGTTTTACAATTTAATAAGCCCAAATTTTGTATAAGAACCTAGAGTAACAAAGACACAAGGTAGATTCTTTGCTCATAGATATTGTTTGGCTTGGTTAACATGGTTAGCTTGATTAGCTTGATTAGCCTTTACTAATAATAAAAGTATAAAGCTTAATATTGGTAAATTTGATCTAAAAAAGAATTAATTCTATAGTTCAAATTGCAAACCAAGAATATCAAAATATTTATAATGATATTGAATTATTAATTTTTAATAGAGAAGGATTTTCACTTAATAACTTATTAAATTTTATATCTGATAATTGGTTAGCTAATTGTAACCTGATTATTTTTAACTTTATTAATACTCTTACTCATAATGATAGTAATAACTATAGTAATTATACTTCAAATGAAAAAATCTTTAAAAAAATAGTTGCAATTAATACAATATATAGGTCAAGGCATAAAAACTATGTATCAAATCCCTAGTACAAAAATTTCTAAAAATTCTAAAACACAAAAACACTTTTTACATCTAATTTTATTAAATAATCATACTATTTAGCCTTAAATAAAATT